CCCAAAGCCAATGAAGTGATCAATAAAGTTTTAGAATCAAAACCACGATTCCTCTTCGAATACTTTATAATAAAACAGAAAAGAAAAAATATATAACTTATAGAAACCTAAAATAACTATTAACATGCACATGACAAGATTGATACTTAAACTCCTTAACAAGACATTCCAATCTTACTCAACACTTCACACCACCAAATTATAATCCCATAATTAAGATCTACCCAAAAAAATCAAATTAACCCTAGTTTAAAACAATGTCTCCACTTCACTCCTACTCTATCTTCTTCTCCATTTTCTTGACCATCTTTCTTCAATCATCAACAACATCATCCCAATCAAACCTATGCAGATCTTCTTGCGGCGATATTCCAATAAATTACCCTTTTGCCATCGACGACGGTTGTGGCAGCCCTTATTACAGACACATGCTCATTTGCTCCGACAACAACACCAAGCTCGAACTTAGAACACCATCTGGTAAATACCCTGTTAAATCCATAAGCTACTCTGATCCTCACCTTCTTGTCGCCGATCCATTCATGTGGAATTGTCAAGATCGAGACAATTTTCGACCAACAAGATCTTTCAGCATCGATTCAAGCACACACTTCACTGTCTCCCCTCAAAACGACTACTTGTTCTTCAACTGCAACACCGATAAAGTGATCGTCGAGCCAAAACCGCTCTTCTGCGAAAGGTTTCCGGATAGATGCGACTCGTCATGCGATAGCTCGAGCTATCTATGCAGACATTTACCTGGATGCGGATCAGCTTTAGGGTCTAGGGTTTCTTGTTGCTCGTATTACCCGAAAGCGACTCAGTCTCTTAGGCTTATGCTACAGAACTGCGCGACGTATACAAGCGTGTATTGGAGGAGTAGTGGCGTGGAGAATGCACCGTATGATCAGTTTCCGGAATATGGGATTAGGGTTGATTTTGAATACCCGGTGACTATGAAGTGCCTTCTTTGCCAAGAAACAACTAAAGGTGGTGGAGTTTGTGGGTTTGATACGAGGACGCGGGGTTTCTTGTGCCTTTGCAAACAAGGCAACGTAACCACTTATTGTAAAGGTAATATTTTTCTTTAAAATTTTTATTTGTACCTAATTTTTCTTTCTAAAACCCTGATTAGTCATCTTTTCACTAGTTCTACATAAGTCTCGAACCAGTAAGACATTAATATGAGTTCTTCTTCTAAAATATTAGATTATAAAAATATATGATTCTACATTATAGAGTACTACTAAAGCTATATTCAATCTTTTTGATATTCTTACCTGCAGATCCTAACCTCATAAAGCATAAACGCATTGGAGCAGTAGCAGGTAATTAAGCAAG